TGTTTTCTTCATTGGCCTTTAATACTACTTAGAGACAGCCACTTCTAAATTTGTTCTGAAATATGATGTCAACAACACAGTAATTTGGATAAATAACTAACAAAACAGCTAATGTAATGTTCATTCCATTTTTATTCCACACATAAGCAACACAGCCACTTTTATACATAGATGTCTTTCTTCCAGATATGCAATATCTTCAACTCATGATCCTACTAAACTCCTACACTCTAGGAAGAAAATAAGAGAACACCTAAACACTGTCATTCAAAGACTGCACTCACACCCTAACTAGACAATAGGAAAACATCTTCAATTTAGTCACATTCAATTAAAGACGGCACTCAGTGGTAAAGAGATAACTTCCTTCAACTAACACTACATGACAAAGACAGACTAAAACTTTTATCCATAAAACACCACATGCATCAGCATCACAATGTCACATTATTTATTAATGCTAAATCTTTCCTTTGACGATACTCTCATACCCACAACACCCTACATTCACTTCACAGCATACAATGGGAGAGACTAGCTTAAAATTGACCAGAAAGCTCAATGTTCCAGATAGATGACAAGCCAACCTTTTCTTCACTAAATGTATAGAAAGTTTACCAATAACACTTAATTTTTGTACCCACATTTCAAGAAAATTATTAAAAAACATCTATATAAATCAAATCTTAGTAAAGTGGATGAGATAAAAGGCTAACTACAATTCCCATTTTAATAAATATATTTTTAAATGCCTAAATGAATGAATTAGACTCCCAGTTATTTAATACTTGTAAGCCCCTATTTCTAAAAAAAATTTTCTCTGTAATTTTGGGGTACACATGGTCATCATTACATGCTTCTTTTCCTACAAATTACTAAATACATTAAATAGCTTCAAACATACAAACACGGCTATTTAATTCACTCCTTGGCATAGCCAATTATAAAGTCTTACCCCTCAACTTTCGATTTAGATTTGTTTAAACCCGTTTTATCTTCATGTTTGTTGCATATTGAATCGTATGGATTTTCTTGAGTGAAGTGATATTTTTTACTTTCTAGTAGAAATCCTTCATTCATATGCTTTTACTGAACTATTTAATTAGCTATTAGCATAATCTGCTTAATTTCTCTTTTAGTATTTTTACCGATTTAATACTTATTTGCCTTCCTTTTAGGTATTCAACCTTTTTGGTATTCAGTCATTCTTTCAGTAGTATATGTACTTTAACACCCATTGAAAATGTAGGATATAAGTGTATTTAAAATCTTTTAAGGTTTACTGTTTAGTTCTCTACCTGATATTAATTTAATCTTTATTGTTACAGGAGTTAACTCTTTCTCTTATTGCCATCTTGTGTATACAGCTGTTAAATCATTCTTCTATTTCATTGATTGTTTAAAAAACTTTCTAACTATTCGATTCAGTCTTTCAATTATTCATTTTTATCCATTATTTTTAGCTTGGCATATTCTGTAGAAAATCTCAATCTTTCAGTGACTTCATACCATGCACCCTTCAGTTGCAAATGAACCTTTCAACCAACATTACATTTTTAAATGCCTTTTTGCAAATCTGTCTTAGACCAGATAGCCTATTATATGACCATTTTAAATATAAATTTTTAGTGCATACCCCCATTTCATTATCTTTGCCTTTATGGTAGACCAATAGTAAATGTTTGAGATTAAATTTTTCTTAAAAGTGGCGGCCTGTTGTTAAACAATAAATTTTTTGCCATCCTAGTCTAATGTTGCATTAGGTTTTTCTTAATCCTGTATGGATTATGCAATCAATTGACAGTCTTAAAAGTTTCTCAGTTAGGGTCGTGATCACATTCTGTACCTTAAATGACAGGCTGATCTAACCCTTGAGAAAACTTGCTGGCTTATATAACTACACTCTGACTTGCAATGGTCAGGCTAGTCCTCAAATGTTAAGAAAATGAAATAAATATTTTAATGCAACATGGCAGGTATGCTAACATTAACCTCACTAACCATTGTGTGGGAATGAACCACAGTGTGAATTTTGAAATCTGATTAAATAAATTTAATAAAATCTAAATGGCATGCAAGTCACTTCTAATCAGCCGTTAATACCACACCCCCTCTCCCCAATTTTGGATAAACATTGAAGGCAACTGCAAGGGAGCACAAGATTGACTTATCTTTTGCCTTAACTTCTGCTTGATGAAATGGCAATTAACATTCAACAGTTTCTCCTAATGTGGTGTAATTGTACTAGATTTTGTCAAAAAAAGTTTGATTTGCTATATTAGATCCCTAGTTTATTTTATAGTTGCATTCTTGGCAATTTCTTCTTTAAAAACAAAACATTCATGTATTATATTATTTATATTCTTTCTTGTCAAGTCAGTTGAACTCTAAACATTCAGCAATTCCATTGAAAACTTGATAACTTTCCCCAAGAATGAATACATTTTCCAAAAAGGAAAATTTTAAAATATTCCACTCAACTTTTATTATACATTGTTAAAACTTTCATTACACTTTATTTTGTTTCTTACACACTGCTTTTATAGAGAGGCTTAATGTAATAATCCATGTGTACCAATTATCTTAAGCTTTTTATTCAAACCATTATAAAATTGCAACATAATTATCATGTAATAATCCATGTGTACCAATTATCTTAAGCTTTTTATTCAAACCATTATAAAATTGCAACATAATTATCATTGAAACGAACTAAATAGTCTTATCCTTATGTACTTCGTTACACAGTCACAACCTTTTATTAATACAAAGCATTCCAGGCAGCAGTTGCTATGCCTACTTAATAATAATTTAATAAGATGCAACAAGATACAGATACCTGTTTGCATGCTACCTCCAAAACTGCTCTTGCTAGAACTTCAGTGTCTGTGCTGTTTTCCAGTAAATTGCTTACCTCCATATCTATGTGGGTATTTGTGTCCAAAAACAATTTTTTACAAATATTTTAGCAAAACTTGGTGTCACAGCTCCTTGGACAAATTTAACCGCCTGGAAATATTTAACTCTTAATGTAATGCATGTGCATTACCATTGCCAAATATCTTTAAATAGTTTTATATTTAATAAAATATCAATAAAAAAATTAACCATACCTTGTTCACAGGAACCTATATATTTTTCTAGTAAGTGGTACAGTCTGTCATGCCTGGCAGCTAGCTGTTGGCTCTTAGCACAAGCCATATACATGTTTTATGTCACTTTCACCTAGATAAAAAATATGAAATTAATGACAAAACATAAAAAAAAAACTTTTTGCCAAATGCATTTATGGTATGGTAAAATAAGGTAGGGTCTCCATCCAACTCTGGCAGAAGTCTGAAACAGTAAATAAACATCTCCTTAACAGGCAGCAGTTGCTATGCCTACTTAATAATAATTTAATAAGATGCAACAAGATACAGATACCTGTTTGCATGCTACCTCCAAAACCGCTCTTGCTAGAACTTCAGTGTCTGTGCTGTTTTCCAGTAAATTGCTTACCTCCATATCTATGTGGGTATTTGTGTCCAAAAACAATTTTTTACAAATATTTTAGCAAAACTTGGTGTCACAGCTCCTTGGACAAATTTAACCGCCTGGAAATATTTAACTCTTAATGTAATGCATGTGCATTACCATTGCCAAATATCTTTAAACTAGGCATGCTGCCCAGCTTCGCTTCATCATCATCATCACTCCTTTATGGCCCCTGGGGAGCAAAGGGCTGCAACCACACATCTCCAGCGGACTCGGTTTTGGGCTGCTCCTCTAATCTGTGCCCATGAGAGCCCAGCTGTTTTTGCCTCTTCCTCAACCGTTCTCTTCCATGTTTTCTTTGGCCGGCCCACCCTCCTTTTCCCCTGGGGATTCCAGTCCAATGCATGTTTTGCGATGTTTTCTTTTTCTTTTCTTAACGTGTGTCCGATCCATCCCCATTTTCGGGCCTTAATATCTTTCTCTATTGGCTGTTGCTTTAAAATTTGCCACAGGTCATTGTTTGATATTTTGTCTGGCCATCTTATTTTGAGTATATGTCGTAGACATTTGTTTATGAACGCCTGTAGCCTATCAGTATTTGTCTTCGTAACCCTCCAGGTCTCCGAGCCATAGAGTAGCACCGCCTTAACATTTGTGTTGAAAATCCCAATTTTGCTCCGGAGTGACAGGGCCGTGGACCTCCACATCGGGTGCAGCGAGTTGAAGGCACATCTAGCCTTGTTGATACAGCATTTTATGTCCTCGTCTGCTCCCCCGTCCTTATTGATCACGCTTCCCAGATATGTGAATGTGTTTGTTTCTCGTAAATCTTCTCCATTTAGCTGTATCGGCAGGTCCTGGCTGTTATTGATTCTGATGACCTCTGTTTTGTTTTTATTGATTTTTAGTCCAATTTTGGAGGCTTCTTCAGACAGCCGATTTAGTTTGGCTTGCATGTGTTGATGCTTATGAGATAGTAGGCAGATGTCATCGGCAAAATCAAGATCCTCCAACCTTTTTGTGAAACTCCACTGGATTCCTGTGTCGTTTTTTGTGGCCCTCAGCATGATCCAGTCGATTACCATCAAGAATATCATTGGCGATAGCATACATCCCTGTCTTACTTCCGTCGTCACCGTGAATGGTTTTGTTAGCTTTCCCTTGTGTATTACCTGACTGGTGGAGTCTTCATATAGTTTCTGTGTGATAGATATAAATTTTTTGGGTATTCCATAGTGGCTCATTAACTTCCAGATAGCATCTCTATTCACACTGTCAAACGCCTTTTCGAAGTTGACAAAGGTCATGAATAAGGGGGATTGCCACTCAAGGGACTGTTCGATAATGATGCGCAGCGTGGCAATGTGGTCAGTATATGACCTGTCCTGACGAAAACCAGCCTGTTCTTGTCTCAGCTTTTTGTCCAAGGCATCTCTAAGTCTCTCTAGGATGATTCTTGTCAGCACCTTACTTGGAACTGAAAGAAGCATTATCCCTCTCCAGTTGTTGCATTGTGTCAGGTCTCACTTCTTTAGCAGTTTTATCAGGTATCCCAGTTTCCAGTCAGATGGGATTATCTCTTCTTCCCAAATCTGCTTGAGTAGAGGATGTAGTATGTCTGCTGATATGGCTGGGTCTGCTTTGAGTGCCTCTGGTGGGATGCCGTCCGGGCTAGCTGCTTTGCCATTTTTCATGTTTTTTATTGCTCTTGTTTCTAACTTTGTGGGTGGATCTGTACACACATCTAGTAGGTGATTTGCAGGTGGTATATCCGGGATGTTTGATGAGAGAGGATGGTTTGAAATCTCATCAAAGTGCTGTACCCATCTGTCTCTCTGTTCTGTGTCACTTGTTAAGATATTTCCTACTTTATCCGTTACTGGTTTGTTGGGATTAATGTTCTTACCTGATAGTGTCCTGGTTACTTCATAGAGCCTCTTCATTTTTCCTTGTCGTGCCGCAGTTTCTGCCTCCTCTATCATCTCCTGTATGAACTGTCTTTTGTCTTCTTTTGCACTTTTCCTGACCATGCGATTTACTTCACAATAACGTGTTCTGAGGTTTATTTTCTCTTTTTCATCCTTACATTTGTTAATCTTCTGCTTTATCTCTTTTCTATCTTCAATTTTGGCCCATGTCTCTGTTGTAATCCATTCTTTTTGTTCATTTTTTCTTCTCCCCAATATGTCAGTGCATGTTGACTTCCATAGTTCCTGTATTCCTAGCCATTTTTGCTCAACTGTTTCCTCTACTGTATCCTCTACCAGGCTGGAGAGTACTTCATACCTATTTTTTACTGCGCAGTTAAAGTCTTCCTTTATTTTTGGACACCTAAGAAATGTTGTATTGAATTTAAAGTGCTGTTTATCAGCTCGATCCCTGTAGGATTTTAGTTTTAATTTTAGTATTGCAACCACGAGTTGGTGGTCTGAGGCTGCATCTGCACCTCGTTGCGCCCTAACATCCATTAAGGGGATCCACGGGTCACTGAAAGGTCTATAAATAATAAAAATATCGATTTTCCAATTCTCGTATTTTGTATTAGTTTATTATCTTGCAAATCGTTTTTCGAAGTTTGATTTTAATAAACATATCGTTTTTACATTGAAAATATGTTTGAAAGGGGGTGGGGGTAATCATTTTCCTTGAAAACTTCACAAAAATTGGTTGATTTGCTGCGTTTATAAGTTTGGAATACACGATACCATAGTATCATGTTTGGTATCGTTGGAAAGCTGCGCATTTCTTCTACCAGAATTTCCCGGCCAAAACTAGATCTATTAATAATCATTGACCTAAAAAGTCTTCATTCACACACTCCAATCTGTGCAATGATTGGCTAATCCGTTGTTAGTAACAATTCTGAGTATTTTGATTGGTCTCTGACCGCCATCCTGCCTCGCGTTTACACTACCCCGGACAACAATGCATTGCGCGCATGTCGATTCAAGGCATCGAAATCCTTTGTTTTGTTTCAAGACTGACTGCATTTTCTCTTTCACATTAGCGGTTTACTTTTGATTTCGTCCAATAATGTCGGTAAGGAAAATATATTTCAAGATCTACATCGTGGCTCCCTAACAATGAGAATGGATTTGTGATGAGGTGTATCTCTGAAGTCTCTGGTATATATAATTGCCCAAAAAACAGTGTCATGATTAAAAAGTCCGCGCCTACCCTCAGAAGTTCAAGCCAGAAATCTAGAATCTGAATCTGAATGAAGAATTACTAAATTAGCCCTAAAATTTAAACAGTGTGTACTCTAGAAGACTATTCCCTAATATGAATCTAAAGAGATCTTTCTTTTATTGAGACACACTGAGGCTTCTTCTGTCTTTTTTATGTAGCCTTTCCCCTCACAATCAAATGCCACTAGGCATGGCTTGTTTTTTATTATGCTATCATCGCCAGCGTGGCTCCCTAACAATGAGAATGGATTTGTGATGAGGTGTATCTCTGAAGTCTCTGGTATATATAATTGCCCAAAAAACAGTGTCATGATTAAAAAGTCCGCGCCTACCCTCAGAAGTTCAAGCCAGAAATCTAGAATCTGAATCTGAATGAAGAATTACTAAATTAGCCCTAAAATTTAAACAGTGTGTACTCTAGAAGACTATTCCCTAATATGAATCTAAAGAGATCTTTCTTTTATTGAGACACACTGAGGCTTCTTCTGTCTTTTTTATGTAGCCTTTCCCCTCACAATCAAATGCCACTAGGCATGGCTTGTTTTTTATTATGCTATCATCGCCAGCGTGGCTCCCTAACAATGAGAATGGATTTGTGATGAGGTGTATCTCTGAAGTCTCTGGTATATATAATTGCCCAAAAAACAGTGTCATGATTAAAAAGTCCGCGCCTACCCTCAGAAGTTCAAGCCAGAAATCTAGAATCTGAATCTGAATGAAGAATTACTAAATTAGCCCTAAAATTTAAACAGTGTGTACTCTAGAAGACTATTCCCTAATATGAATCTAAAGAGATCTTTCTTTTATTGAGACACACTGAGGCTTCTTCTGTCTTTTTTATGTAGCCTTTCCCCTCACAATCAAATGCCACTAGGCATGGCTTGTTTTTTATTATGCTATCATCGCCAGCGTGGCTCCCTAACAATGAGAATGGATTTGTGATGAGGTGTATCTCTGAAGTCTCTGGTATATATAATTGCCCAAAAAAAAAGTGTCATGATTAAAAAGTCCGCGCCTACCCTCAGAAGTTCAAGCCAGAAATCTAGAATCTGAATCTGAATGAAGAATTACTAAATTAGCCCTAAAATTTAAACAGTGTGTACTCTAGAAGACTATTCCCTAATATGAATCTAAAGAGATCTTTCTTTTATTGAGACACACTGAGGCTTCTTCTGTCTTTTTTATGTAGCCTTTCCCCTCACAATCAAATGCCACTAGGCATGGCTTGTTTTTTATTATGCTATCATCGCCAGCGTGGCTCCCTAACAATGAGAATGGATTTGTGATGAGGTGTATCTCTGAAGTCTCTGGTATATATAATTGCCCAAAAAAACAGTGTCATGATTAAAAAGTCCGCGCCTACCCTCAGAAGTTCAAGCCAGAAATCTAGAATCTGAATCTGAATGAAGAATTACTAAATTAGCCCTAAAATTTAAACAGTGTGTACTCTAGAAGACTATTCCCTAATATGAATCTAAAGAGATCTTTCTTTTATTGAGACACACTGAGGCTTCTTCTGTCTTTTTTATGTAGCCTTTCCCCTCACAATCAAATGCCACTAGGCATGGCTTGTTTTTTATTATGCTATCATCGCCAGCGTGGCTCCCTAACAATGAGAATGGATTTGTGATGAGGTGTATCTCTGAAGTCTCTGGTATATATAATTGCCCAAAAAAAAAGTGTCATGATTAAAAAGTCCGCGCCTACCCTCAGAAGTTCAAGCCAGAAATCTAGAATCTGAATCTGAATGAAGAATTACTAAATTAGCCCTAAAATTTAAACAGTGTGTACTCTAGAAGACTATTCCCTAATATGAATCTAAAGAGATCTTTCTTTTATTGAGACACACTGAGGCTTCTTCTGTCTTTTTTATGTAGCCTTTCCCCTCACAATCAAATGCCACTAGGCATGGCTTGTTTTTTTATTATGCTATCATCGCCAGCGTGGCTCCCTAACAATGAGAATGGATTTGTGATGAGGTGTATCTCTGAAGTCTCTGGTATATATAATTGCCCAAAAAAAAAGTGTCATGATTAAAAAGTCCGCGCCTACCCTCAGAAGTTCAAGCCAGAAATCTAGAATCTGAATCTGAATGAAGAATTACTAAATTAGCCCTAAAATTTAAACAGTGTGTACTCTAGAAGACTATTCCCTAATATGAATCTAAAGAGATCTTTCTTTTATTGAGACACACTGAGGCTTCTTCTGTCTTTTTTATGTAGCCTTTCCCCTCACAATCAAATGCCACTAGGCATGGCTTGTTTTTTATTATGCTATCATCGCCAGCGTGGCTCCCTAACAATGAGAATGGATTTGTGATGAGGTGTATCTCTGAAGTCTCTGGTATATATAATTGCCCAAAAAACAGTGTCATGATTAAAAAGTCCGCGCCTACCCTCAGAAGTTCAAGCCAGAAATCTAGAATCTGAATCTGAATGAAGAATTACTAAATTAGCCCTAAAATTTAAACAGTGTGTACTCTAGAAGACTATTCCCTAATATGAATCTAAAGAGATCTTTCTTTTATTGAGACACACTGAGGCTTCTTCTGTCTTTTTTATGTAGCCTTTCCCCTCACAATCAAATGCCACTAGGCATGGCTTGTTTTTTATTATGCTATCATCGCCAGCGTGGCTCCCTAACAATGAGAATGGATTTGTGATGAGGTGTATCTCTGAAGTCTCTGGTATATATAATTGCCCAAAAAACATTGTCATGATTAAAAAGTCCGCGCCTACCCTCAGAAGTTCAAGCCAGAAATCTAGAATCTGAATCTGAATGAAGAATTACTAAATTAGCCCTAAAATTTAAACAGTGTGTACTCTAGAAGACTATTCCCTAATATGAATCTAAAGAGATCTTTCTTTTATTGAGACACACTGAGGCTTCTTCTGTCTTTTTTATGTAGCCTTTCCCCTCACAATCAAATGCCACTAGGCATGGCTTGTTTTTTATTATGCTATCATCGCCAGCGTGGCTCCCTAACAATGAGAATGGATTTGTGATGAGGTGTATCTCTGAAGTCTCTGGTATATATAATTGCCCAAAAAACAGTGTCATGATTAAAAAGTCCGCGCCTACCCTCAGAAGTTCAAGCCAGAAATCTAGAATCTGAATCTGAATGAAGAATTACTAAATTAGCCCTAAAATTTAAACAGTGTGTACTCTAGAAGACTATTCCCTAATATGAATCTAAAGAGATCTTTCTTTTATTGAGACACACTGAGGCTTCTTCTGTCTTTTTTATGTAGCCTTTCCCCTCACAATCAAATGCCACTAGGCATGGCTTGTTTTTTATTATGCTATCATCGCCAGCGTGGCTCCCTAACAATGAGAATGGATTTGTGATGAGGTGTATCTCTGAAGTCTCTGGTATATATAATTGCCCAAAAAAACAGTGTCATGATTAAAAAGTCCGCGCCTACCCTCAGAAGTTCAAGCCAGAAATCTAGAATCTGAATCTGAATGAAGAATTACTAAATTAGCCCTAAAATTTAAACAGTGTGTACTCTAGAAGACTATTCCCTAATATGAATCTAAAGAGATCTTTCTTTTATTGAGACACACTGAGGCTTCTTCTGTCTTTTTTATGTAGCCTTTCCCCTCACAATCAAATGCCACTAGGCATGGCTTGTTTTTTATTATGCTATCATCGCCAGCGTGGCTCCCTAACAATGAGAATGGATTTGTGATGAGGTGTATCTCTGAAGTCTCTGGTATATATAATTGCCCAAAAAAAAAGTGTCATGATTAAAAAGTCCGCGCCTACCCTCAGAAGTTCAAGCCAGAAATCTAGAATCTGAATCTGAATGAAGAATTACTAAATTAGCCCTAAAATTTAAACAGTGTGTACTCTAGAAGACTATTCCCTAATATGAATCTAAAGAGATCTTTCTTTTATTGAGACACACTGAGGCTTCTTCTGTCTTTTTTATGTAGCCTTTCCCCTCACAATCAAATGCCACTAGGCATGGCTTGTTTTTTATTATGCTATCATCGCCAGCGTGGCTCCCTAACAATGAGAATGGATTTGTGATGAGGTGTATCTCTGAAGTCTCTGGTATATATAATTGCCCAAAAAACAGTGTCATGATTAAAAAGTCCGCGCCTACCCTCAGAAGTTCAAGCCAGAAATCTAGAATC